GATTTTGACTAGAAGTTTTCGAAAAAACTTTCTCAAATTAACTATGAGTTTCATTTTAGAGAATCAATAACGATGACATTTCTCTGCCGATTTATGCAAGGCCAAGCCGTCTAACTTATTCCATTCAGGAGTTATAAGCGTTTTACTTGAAGTCTTGAAATCGGCCAATTGATCATTGATCACTCTAACATGTATAGAGTTTGATGTATTCGTCTATGTTGACTTCAATTGTAGTATTTGTTGGTAGTTTTGAAACGGTCTGACGTTAGAGGGTTAGTATAGACAGAGTTACGAAAATCATGATCTAGCTACTTACAATCATATTGAAACTAAAAAACAACAACACATAGTCCAGATAATTTAGCAAAATTTCATTTTTTCCATATTTTCTCTTTCGAATGGTGAAAACTACAGGTTTCTGGCTATTTTCGTCCTCAAGATATTTCAAAACATCACGAGTTACATCATATTTTAATGTCAAGAATAGAAAATTTCATAACTTACAGCACACGGTATCATCACTATGTAATATTTTACATTCATATAACGAAAACCTAATCGAAATGTATCTTTGTCTCCATCGGTAACATGCTACAATAAAACAAATACAAATCTATTCTAATTAATATTATTAACAAGCGATTACTTTATAGAATAGTTCATAATTATCATTCATTAATTTTGTCATATAAAGTCCATTCCATACGCGTTTTTTATCAACTAATATTGTTGCACTATCAAATTCATATTCATGTTCACCACAACTTGTATTAAACAAATTCCATACACCTGGATGTTGTCGACTTTGATAAGCATCAGGAAAGAAAAGAGCACCAAATTTGAGATACATTGGATCAGAAAGAAAAAGATCTATTGGATCTCGTGTAATATATGCATCACAATCGAGAAATAGTACTTCAGCAAAAGTAGCACTAATAATCGCTGCTGGTTTATAAGGAAAATGTTTCAATAGATTGCCTATACGAGGTTTGTAGACATGAGTATGATTAAGTTGCCAGATTTGTGTATGAGTTCTACATTGAGCTTTATCAAAACAACATATATGTGAATTGAGTTTAGGTGCCGTATTAAGTAATTCCATCATCATTGTTTCTGAGATTTGACTGGATGAATACCATATCTAAAAGATAAATGATTGATGAAAAAACTTTATATTATTGTTTATATGTGTGACAAAATAGGAGATATTTTATCCAGGGTTAAGACTGGAAGTGCTTTCTTCTGTTCTTCTGCTGTGATTGAGTATAATAATCGAAATTTCATGAAATCATTATTTATATATAAAACTTATAAGTGCAATTGCATTTGAGGTCAAAATGTGAAACTTAAAAAAGTCTGATCACTATCAAATTGTACCATCGAAAACAAAAAAATACAAATAGTTTATGACGTAGTCTTTGTAAGCTGAGAGTGTAATGAATCAAGGCAATTTATATCAGTCTCTATGTAAAATATTGTATCGAATGGTATGAAGACATGTTGGATACAAATTTTTAATAATTTTCTCTATTATAGCGTAATTTATTTCCTTTTTGTACAAAATTAGTACAAAAATTACCATGTCTGTCTGTTTGAGTATCATCAAAGACAGTTTCATAGTTGTTCCAATAAATCAAATACATTAATCGTATACTGATTGTTCTTCTTCTTCTTCTTCTTCTATTAACTCTGAAAACTTAAATCACCACTGATATTTATGTAAAAGAATCCTTCATTTTTGCACCCGTTATTAGTGATGAAAATTTGTACTGAAATCATTGATCTTTGGTTTCAGTCACTAACGAAATGTATCTAATGAACCTTGATCATGATGCCTAGGATCTTTAGTTATTAGAAAAAGCTGCTGAACAATTGTTGATCTTTGACTCCAATTGCTACAAAGTACGAAACAGAAGCCAAAAAATTTCGACTTTAAACTTCTACTCACAATTTTCTTTCGAAAAATCTATATCAGTTCCACTAAATGTATATCTGTTTCTTTGGTATAAACACAGTTCTATATATTTTATTACATTAAACATGTAAACTTTGGTTTGATTGTTTATCGTATCAAAATTTTGATTTAAGGCACTACATCAGTCATTTTATTACTTCTTTCATTATTTTTTTAATACAAAAGAAAAAAAACCTTTTTTTGATGTTTGTCTAGATAGAATTATATTTACTTGAACATGTAATTGAGTACCACTATGTTCAATCATTTTTAAATTGACTTTCGCTAATGCTAATTGATGTGGTCCAACAGTAAGAACAATACCTCGACCATGAAAATATTCGTTTGGATAAGGTATAATTTGTTGACGAAGTGTTATAAGTAATTTAGATATAGTAGAAAAAGCATATTCTTGTTCTTGATTTAATGACTTCATTATCTTACATGCATGTGTTGCATTATCATACATCCGCGAATAACTCGCTAAATGTTCATTAATTAGTTCAATTCTGAATGATGTATTGATCAAATGTAATGCAGATGAATTAACAGATGAAGATAGAATAAAGTGATTTGATGGCTTCCGTGTGATAAATATAATGATAAGAAATAAAGGTATTATATATAAACAATAAATCATTTTTATCAATTTTGCATATTTATCTTTCTTTATTAATAGAAGCATAATTACAAAATTAGTAAAATAATTTTTTATATTAACTTGTTGAGAAATATATTTACAAAAAAATCTAATTAAAATAAGATTTCGGTTCAATAATCTAATATAATTTAGAAAAAAAAATAAACAGATGATCAAGTATATTCTAACAAAAATAATTATTTTATTTCAAAAAGAAAAAACAATTTAATCAATTTAATATTATTATCATTAATTAATAAAAACAAATCAATGTATGATCAATAACTATCTTCGAATAAATTCTTATCTGAATAGTGTATGAAGATTCATTATATAAATACTTATTTTATTTCAGAATGAATTATGCTAGACCGTTCAAAAAAAAGACGCAACTATGTTTTTTCACACATGATTCGGTTGAATGAATTGCAAGTGGAGAAAACGAAGCAAGTAAAATTTTATTTTTTATTGGTATAATACGTGATATATTAAAGCAAAACGAAAAACAATATGTTGATATGAAACATGACAACCAAACAAGGTGTTTGATGTAAAAATATCAATTACAGTTTTATAATAAGCAAATAAAAGTCAAACATTAAAAACATTTAGAGAACTAATGAATGATATGGTGGAAACAATTTTTGGTGAATAAAAAAAAAAACTACAAGTATTTCATAAAATGCTTCTATCTTCAAAAGAAAAACCTGTAAAAATGATATATAACTCTTCATATTCGTTTTAGAAAATACAATAACTTCATATCATTTATGCTCCTAGTTACTGTTGTGTGACTTTCGATTGTCACACTTTACTCTTATTTCAACTTTCACTTATCATAATAATATTGTGTTTGTATAATCAAAAAATTTCCTAGTTAGCAATGATAAATGGTTAGTTTATCCATTGCCTATCTATCATTGTATAATAATCATCATTGCTTACCTCTTACTGATAACAGCAGTGGAAATATAACACTCTAAAATTGATAAATAAAAACTGTCATTCATATAAGTGGTATGAATCATGATGAGAATTCATTATGCAGTCACGAAGCTTTTTCGGATTCAGTAAAAACCTCAGTAGTAGAGCTTTGGAAAATTCTTCTTATACATTAATATCATCAAAATTGGCTACAGATCATCAATAAGGTACACATTTTGGGCAAACGATGTTGAAAATTTCAAAATCTTCAATTTCTACACATGCCGTTGATCTTTGTCTTAACATTGACATAAGTCTTTCGCTACCTTTTTCATACAGTCTTACAATTTTTATTTTCCTTTTCTCTTTCTCACTCTCTATATTTTCGTCCAATTGTTTGTTGTACAGTAGTAGTTCAAATGTTAGAGTTGTTATTATCTTTCATTCGTCAGCAGAATATTTTTCTTGTACTCCTTCATCTCTCATGTTATCTTTTTTTGTTATATTTGTTCTCAAAATATATTTCCAATAAATTATATCTAATAGCTTTATTCTCATCACACATGTGCCTGAAAAACAAATGAAAGTAGTTACATTTTTACTTGCGTCATAGAATGAACTTGAACTAAAAAGAATTGAAAAACGCAACGTAATATCTCAATCATATGTTCATTCGATAAATTACTACAAGGCATTGGACTACCACTTCTAAAAAGAAATTTGACATATCGTTTCATTCAGACATTGAAGAAAAAAAAAACTTTAACATGAGAGAAATAAACTAGAAATAGCAGAAGACAACAAAAAAAATTGACATTTTAGCAAATAGAAACTAACAGAGGCAGAAAAAATGAAAGAGTTAATGAAGAAAAATCAATATTGATAATTCTATCCAGTGTCACAGAAAAAATCAGCTTAGTTTGTTCAATAAACAGGATCGATGAGACTGCTGTTATCAACTGGTTTTTGACGATTTTCAACACAAAGACTTCATAAGTGTATCAAAATGAACGAAAGATTATTTTAAAAATATGCTCATTCGGTTGTTTTCTCAAACAAAAATCGAGTATTTTATTTCATTTCTTCTTGCAAAAAGAGAAATACTTCTCTCTAATCTTATTTATTGTACTATACAAAGATGCACTTAAAGAAAAAGCATTAGCTCAAAGGAAAAAACCTTGGGCTCAAACACATGAGACATAATTGAATCACATGTAAAACATTTTCCACTTGGATTTATACTCGGCTTTATACGAAATCTCATTCTATTAGCAATTGAAAAACATATTGATCTTTAACAAACAAATAAATCATATGATGAATATAATATCTACAGATATCCACACATTAAATTATTTTTTCTTTAGATGTAGAAAAGCTTTAGCAAGACTTTCATCTAATATTTATATTTCATAAATTTGTCAAAAAAAAAATGCAAATATTAAATGATTTGAATGAAACAAAACATGAAAACAAACATAATTAAATTTCAGAAGTTAATCTTGATAAATCAAAATTTTGATTTGATGATATCATTTCTAATAATTGTTTTGTTTCTTGAAGAAATGATGATGATGATGATGATGATGTTCGAGGTATTATTAATCGATTTTCAACATTTAACATTACTTTTTCTTGTCGTTGAACTGAAGATCTTAATGATAACGATGATGATGATGATGACATTTGTGCAGATGATGGAAGAATAAATGTATTTGTTTTAGGAAGTGGTTCTCTTTGAAGAAAACGATCAATATTGAATAAATATGATTCATTATCATCATTTTCTATCATAGAAAATATTTAATAACAAATAATAATTTAATAAAACAACTCACTTATTTTAATTGGTTCAAATGAAGAAAAATCAGATTGTTGGACAACAATTGAATGAGATCTTTGCTAAAATAATAATAAGAAAATTTAAATGAATAAAGTAATTCTAAAAAGAATTTAAATAAATAACAAACTGGAATTTTTGTTGGTGGAACTGATGATAATGGTAATGATGCTGATGCTGATGCTGATGCTGATGGTAATGGTGGTAAAGAGAAAGAAGAAGATAAATATTGAGAATTGTTTATACCATATTTTTTTCCATAGAAAAAATAATTTTTTATTTTTGAACAAATAAGAAAACCTTTTAATCGACAAATAAGTAAAATAAGAATAATTGTTCCAATAAGAAATATAATTGAAATAAAAACCATTATTTTTTCTATTGGTTTTTTTGGTAAAATCCATTTTTGAAAATGATTATTAATTTCAAATGATATTGAATTTATTTCATCAATAAGAAATGTTATATTAAAACATTGTTTATTATAATCAAAAGAACATATTTCATATTCAAAAGATTTATTAAATAAATTATTTGATTTATTTATATACATTCGACATTCATTTAAAATTATTTCACTTTGATTATTATTTAAAAAATTTCTTAAATTAATAGTTAAATTATTATTATTATTATTATCTATAAATAAATTTGATTGAATTACTTTTAATAAAGCAATTTCATTATCATTATTTTTAATATCATATAGAATATAAGTTTTGTTTTCTAAACAAAAATCAAATGATTCATCAAGAAATTGATCAGAAATTGAAGTTGATGTTGTTATATTAGTTGTTGTTCTTGTTGTTTGAATATCATCAATAAAACTAGTACTATCAATTGTTGTTGTTGTTAATTGATCAAAAACAATAAATTGAATAATTAAATTTGGTAAATATTGTTGAGATAATTTATGTTTAATTTGAATATTTAATAAATAATTATGATTTGATGATATAAGTTGTTGATTTAATTTTAAATAATAAATATTAATTAAAGAAGGAGAAGAAGAAGGAATAAGTGAAAATATATTAAAATAATTTTCAAGTGAAAAAATAAATTTATCATTTGGATAATAATATGAAAAAAGAGATATTTTTAATAAATTAATATTAATTTGAATATTTTTATTAATAAAAAAAATATTTGATTTATTATTTAATTGATAAATATAATTTGAATTATTAAATAAAATATTTTCATAATAAAATGAAATATTTTTTAATAAATGAAAATAACGAAAATAAATTTTAATATTTGTTTGATTTTTTAATTTTTTAAAATTATTATTTTTTAATAATAAAAAAGCTTCAACATTTAATTCAATATCATTATTTATATATGTTATATTATTTTTATTTATAAAACTTAATTCACCAGTTAAAAAATTTATTTTTATTTCATTTATTTTATTATTTGATAAAATTTTATAATAAATTATATCTGATGGATTATTTGATATAGCATGAATTTTACCTATCAAATTTTCTCTTTTATTTAATGTTTCATTTAATAATATAACAAATTCATATGAAGATAACAAAAATTTTATAAAATTTTTATTTTTATCTTCTTTATCTTCTATTTTAATAAATAAATTCATTGAATTTATTAATTGTTTATTATTTTCATTATTATCAATAGCATAAATTATAAATTTATATTCATTTTCAAAAGTTTTTTTTTCATTTATTAATGATGGATTATATTTTAATGCTAATTTATCAAAATTATTTGATAAACTTGATAATGATGATTGAGATATTATTATTAATTCAAATAATGAAAAACAATTTATTGATGATTGATTTAATAATAAGATTTTATTTTTATTATTTTTATTATTTGAACAATCTAATATATAATGAATTTCACTATTTTTACCTTCATCAATATCTTTTGCACCTTCAAAATATATTCTATATCCATTTGATACATTTTCAACAAATTTTAATTCAATTTCATTTTTAGCAAATTCTGGTTTATTATCATTTTCACTTTAATTAAATTTAAAATAAATATTTTATTTTTTCTTCTTCTTCTTCAAAAAAAAACTTACTCAACAATATGAATTGGAATAATCCAATAAGCTAAACCATCATCAACAAGTATTTGTAATTCAATTTTACAATAAAATTTATCTAAACAATATTTTTTATCAAGAAATTCTTCTCGATCAATCAAATTTTTTGTATAAATATTTCCATTTATTATTGAAAATAATTTTGTTTCAAATTCATTTAAATTTATTAATATTAATTTATTTGATGAATTTGTTAATTCTATAACAAATGTATTTAATGGACTATTTTCTAATAAATCAATTATTGGATAACTTTTTATTAATGGATTTGAATATGAATTTTTTATTATAACATTTAATATACATATTATTATTATTATTTTCATCATTTTAGATCTTTATATAAAATAAAATAAACAAACCAAATAAGAATATTTTACTAATCTATCAACAATTCTATATTCTATTCAACAAAAAACTAAAAAGAAAATAATTATCTATTGATTAATATATTCTTCTAATCTTTTTCTTATTTATAGATAGACAAAAAAGAAAAAAAATTCTTACCTCTGTTTTTCTTTTGACTTACTTGAAATTGAAAATTAGATTGAATAAAAAGAAAGAATTGAAAGAGAAATCAATCTGAAAGTGTCTCATCATTCAACATTGAAACAATATTGAAAAAGTAAAATAACAATGTTTGAACTGAGTTCTTCTTCTTGTTTATTTAAATAAGAAAAGTGACAATATTTATCTTGAGTGAAAAGCACGCACACTTTTTTGTTTTTATCCATCTTGTCTTTTTCATCGTCGACAATATGTATTAACTTGTACTCATTAGTAGTTGCGTCGTTAGTTTTTCTTCGTCATCATATCGTTGTTCGTCTTTATTTTCACACAATACTAAGATCAAACAATATATGTCTCACTTTCTCCATGATTTTTTTACCACAAATGTGAATTGGTAGGTACAACTTACATTGTAAATATTAAGACTCTAACTCATTCCTGAAGAAAGTTATTAAAAAAATACAGTGAAATGTCCTATTCTTTAGTTGTACCACCTTTCTACCTGACTGAAAAGCTGAAAAAAATTGTCTAAAATTGATTATTTTTTTGCTTCTTCTGGATATGTAACTCGAAAGGAAATATTTTAAAACTTATAAGATCATGTTAATTCCTGTATGTCATTATTTTTCACTCGAAAAAAGACAAAAGGTTCCTTAATAAGTTCCTAGAAACGTTTCGGTCTCTAAATCAGACAAAAGAAAAGAGTGGTAGTTTGCAAAACCATTTTTTCTTATACTTCGAAGTATTCTCTATCAGATGGTGACACTTTTAAGTGCGGCCGTTTACGTTTTGTTTTGATCATTTTTTTCAAAATAAATGGTACAATAGATACCAGAATGACTCATATATGTATTAGATAGACAGATTTGAAAAGATCCTTACAAAGTGTAATGTACATTAGAAGAAAGGCAAGGAAATACAGTTGTACAATAAAAAAAAATAACATGAACACATATGCAAGAAAAATACATCCAATCACAAGTTAATAATCATATGACAAAAGAGAAAAAGAGTAAATATTATTTAATACACGATGAAGAATCAATGTTTAATCTTTGAGATATAATTCATTAATTGATCTTTTGTCTTTTCCAGATCATGACCTGATAAAAAATGATTATTAAATTCGTGTACAATATTATTGACATGATCTGATTGCAAAGTCGATAATTGAATATCGATGATACTCCAGGATTTGTTGTTGAAATTGTACATAAATAATATTTGTAGGTTTATTGTTCCAATATCACCACGTAAATTGATTTCATAGTCATAGTATTGAGCAAAGAAAAATACCAGTGGTGTTACTGTTCGATCGGAAAGTATAGTTAGATCGGAAATAGGGACAAATACACTTATCGACCCCTCCCCCCTAGTGGCGGAGCCAGGGTGGGGCTGGGGGGAGGGCTCAGCCCCTCCCAGGAAAATTTTTAAACCATGTATTTTATTTGCTAACCGGGGCTCAAAGGTCCCTCAGAGGGGGTTGAGCCCCCCCCCCAGCTCAAAATCCTGGCTCCGCCACTACTCCCCCCCTCATGTTTTGATCTAATTCGACTAATTAGCCGCTGGGAAGGTCATTAAAATCATTAAAAGTATTCCTAAGAGTTCCAAAGCAACAGTTTAAGAGATAACCTAATTTTAAAAAAGTTGGAAATAGATGGCCCCAGAGTCGGGTCAAAGTGAGGGGAAAACACCTAAACAATATCAGCAGAAGGAAAATATCTAAGTGAATGAAAGGAAAGGGAGTGGGTGGGTGGGGTGTGGGTATGGGTGTGATTAAATAGAAGAATAACATCCACCCACACCCACACCCAGATTCATGACTGTATTCGAATATTCAATACATTTGAGAAAATCTTGTAATTGATCAATATTCAATCCATCAATTATTGGTATAACTGTAGCATAATTATTTTTCATCCGATTTAGTTCATCGTTGAATGATTTATACTCGGCATTATTTAAATCACCAATGATAAATATGCTTTTGAAAGACGAGTTGTTTTTACGTTGATTGAACATTAAAATCGATAGTTTAATCAAATTTTGAACTTCGTGTTGCATATTATTATTGTCTTCTAAATAAAACTTAGATGGATCTATGTGAAACATGTAAGTTCTACTATCATCTAATAGAATCACTACAGCAATGCACGAATACACTCCAGATGTTGATAAAACAGCATCGATTGATGCTTTTCCAACTGGAACATTTTTTATATAAGACATTTCAATATCTAGATAAAACAAAAAGAAAAATTAAATCATTAGTTTTATTTAGTATCAATTGAATTTGTTTCATTCGTTATGGTTACATTTATCTTTACATTGTCGAAAATTCGATTGAAAAGCGTTATTATACTATGAATGGCCGAATTTTGTTAAGCACAAAAAACTTCTTATAGGTGCCTCATTACAAAGATGTCGCTACGAAATCGTATGATATTGTGTTGAAATTGAACATTGACGGTTAAAAAAAGAAATAATTTGATGAATATTATAGACCATTACAATTCTATCATGATCTTCAATTAAATATATTTTGATCTATATTTCTACTTGAGTTTTAACCTTTTACCGCAAAAATTTAACCATTGTTTGAGCTCAGAGAGTACAGTAATATCTCAAAAACTGAAATGAAAATCTTTCTTCGTTCATGAGAAAATTAAATTTTACTCAGAAATTATAAGGCGACATTTTCATGATATAGGGATGTAGAGCGATATGAAAATCATGGAAATTTCAGTTGAACAGATTTTATTTCAACATATTCCATTGAGTATCGAATGAAGTACCGAGGGAAAATATTTATCACATAAAATGATTTTACTGGCAAGCTATTTATATGAGTAGTCTGTATACCCAGTTTATAGGAAAAATGCATGTATTACATAGAAATTGGCTGTAAAATAGTGAATTTCGACCAAAGGACATGAAAGTGTAGGGAAAATATCATTTTTATACGTATTCGACATTGCTCTATTAAATAGAATAGTTACTTTTCCATTATCATTAACTTTATTTTCTTCGATTTTTTACTCCAAACGGTACAAACGGCGCGCTCTTCACTCATACATCTGATATTCTTGTTGAATGTGTACTTCAATTCCATTTTACTCATGATAATACCTATAGATTGTTAAGGTAGCAGTATATTATATATTTATTGACACAACTGAATGATATCCATCAAATAAGATGCAATTCATCAACGGCATATCTTTTCAAATGAATCTATAGCTTAAAATTTTGCTTATAAAGTGAAGCTATTCATATTTCGCAATACCAGTATAAGTAATCTTGAGAAGATAATATAGTAACCTATCTATTATGTGATAGAAATACTTCAGATATTTTACAAGATATACATAAATCCATTGATATATCTCTGGTATTGATTTTGAAGTTACAATCCTTCATGGAAACAATACTCGTTGAATCCTATAGATCTTACGATACATATCCGTTATCATTTATAGGGATAGATCACATGTCAATCATATATTTTAAGTCGAACATATCGAATAATATATATATTATAAATAGTATATGATTACCAATGAATCGACATCTAGACTATATATACCTCATTCAATAGAAATAAATTAGATTTATCAATTGATGTATGTATCAGTGTTGACACATAAGGGAACTCGAATAAGAAAAAGGAAAATACTCGATACAAGCTCACCTGTTGAGTTTTCCCGCTCCTAGAATAGATAGACAATATAACACAGAAAACATTGAATTATACATCATTTGATAGAGGAAAATGAGATCTATCAAATGGTATATGTATTAGCATTGTCACACCTTTTAGCATCAATCTGAAAGGTAAATTCTTGAATACAAGCACATTTATTGAATTTTTGACATGCTTCACGTCAAACAATAACACAGACAACATCTAATTATATGTCATTCGATAGACCAGAATGAGATCTATCG